CAGGTCAATGAAACCCAAGATTGCCTGGGAAGAAGGCATTCCACATCCCTGGCAAGTCCACGGAGCTCCCATGACCCGGCAAGAATGCCAAGAACCCTGACACCACGTACGTGTGCCATGGAACCAGCCCCAACTTGCTCGTGTTCTGACCTCTGGAACTTGAGATTGAAAGGGCGAGCCTTCCAAAAAGTGAGATGACAAGGCTCCTGCTTCTCTGACGAACAACATTCTTTCCTGGATGTCTACTTGTGATTATGCAAATTATACACTTAAAGGTAATTAATCCTTAAGCCCTGGAACCTGACCCAGCCTGGATCCATCCATAAGCACATTACGTACAAGAGGCATTTAAATGGAGACAACTGCGTCCTTGCTTTTACTAAAAAGTGTTTCTTTTTATAGAAAATTAGGTCTAGGCAATGTTATAATAAAGTGAAATTAAACATTTAAAAAAATGTTTTCCTTTGGGCTCCTGTAATTTCCCCCTGTTCTTTCTAAATACAAGTCCATGTACTTTCTCTTCCTAAAATGCTACGTATGGGCAGGCAGGACTGTCTGCAATACTCAAGGAGCCCGTGGTGAGAGAAGACCCCTGACCTGAGATGCCCCCTCTCAGCCCTTACTCCAGCGTTACCAGTGGAAACCCCAGCTCATGCCTCCAGATCCTTTTTGCACAGCTGCCCCTTTGGCCTTCTCTTGGCCCCAAGGGTAAAGCCACTCCTGACACAACCGGCCCCCAGGAGAACAGATGGGGAAAAGGCCTGCACAGACTTAGGCAATTGAGTTGGGAATTCTAGGGTCCCCCCACATTTTGGGTTCGCCAGGAACCCTGAGCAAGAGTGGGGGTGTGGGCTTGGGGTGAGCGCATCTCTTTGGAAGCCCCAAATCCTGGTCTTATGGGGAGGAGCACAACCAGGGAGAACCTCACAGGGCCTCCACAGCACAGGGGTCAGGATAGGGACACAGGCTGCCCTATTCTAAGAGTGGTGCTGTGTGTGTGTGTGTGTGTGTGTGTGTGTGTGTGTGTACACACTGAGTGGCCAGATGATTGTGATCTCTGACCACATAATAATCTGGTCACCCAGTGTATTTGTATCTCAAATAGGTACCAAAAGTATTCTAGGCTTTTGCTGGGGATCAACCACCTATTTGCCCTGAGCTTTCCATCAGCCAGTGCAAAGGGGAAACTGATCAAGTGCACTATTTATAGTATCTCTGATATGAAATAAATGAGGTACTCATGAGAAGTACGTTTTACAGAAGTGAATACATGTCCCGCCAAACCGCTGTCACGGGCTTCAAGGTTCTAGATGGCAAGAACTAGATAGAAAAAATTTTCTTTGTCAAGCACCTAGTTTATGTAGACAGAGATACCGCTTATGGTACAAGTACCATCACGTCCACTGCTTGCTGAAATCTTTAAAGGGGACTAGGGAACATTTATTCGGAAGCCATTGTATGAGCAAAGGTTGTGTGATACTATCAAAAAGCACAAAGGTCAAAAAACATCTCACCAACAAAGATTCAGACGGAAGTGTTGGCTGTTCCTAAATCCCTCTCCTGCACATGCCCCAGGCTTCCCCTCGGAGAGCCCCGCTCACCTGCACTTAGGTAACATTCAGCACTTCCTGTCCGCAAAGCCTTCCTCCAGCTCTCAGGCCAAGTTCATGTCCCCAAGGCTCCCACAGCTCCATCCACAGCCTGACCACCTGCAGCTGCTTCTTGGGTGTCAGCCTCCCCACTGAGCTGGTGCGCCCTGAGGCCTGGCACAGGCACCGTGTCTATAACCACAGCCTCCATCCAGGGACCTGGCACAGGCTATATCCTCACTGCGTGCCTCTTGCCTGCTCACCAGCGGCAATGAGGATTCCAAGCCAATGCGGTTTGGAGTTTTTGCTCTTCCCTACCAGGCACTCTACATACTGCCAGGTTCAAGCAAAATGCCACTTTACCCCCTGGAAGAGAGAGGTGAAAATAAACCAAACACCTGTGTTGCGTTACAGATGTGGAGACCATCAGGGGCACATGTGAATACCATATATATGTACTCTGAGGGGTTTAAATGGCATTCATTTATAAAGTTGACCTCAGGGTCTATGCCTTTAGAATGGAAGCATTTTTTTAAAAAGACAGCAGTCACACTTTTTCAGAAAAAACTTTATATGCGCACGCTTTGTCATTTTATCTACAGATCTCAAAATCTTACTCTTCCTGAAATTGGGTTGAGGATGCGAGGAATACCTATGGGAAACTGTACTTACTGGAGAGGTGGCACACTCTATCTATGCAGCAGATGGATTACTTCAAGGAAATGAAGTGTGATGGAGTGTAATTGTCCTGACATGAATCTGTAGGTCATTTCTACCTGCAACCCAGGACTGCTGGAAGAATATCAGCAAAGACACCACAGCATTAAAAGATATTCAATGTCTGCAGGAGTCTGATACTTTTTAAAATCTTACTTAGGAGCATCTAGAAAGAAAACACACACCCCCCCCCAGGGGGGTGAGTGATGGTGGCCTTCAGGAGAAAAGATGCCTGCTGCCCTCACTCTCTGCAAGTTTTCAGTGTGAGACAGAAGAGGCTTAAGCAAAGGGGTAGGGTCTCATTTCCGCTCCTCCCTCTTCCCCGTTACACCCCTCTCAGCTTCCGCCCTCTTTCCTGCTCAGAATGCTCTTTGTGTGTCCGGAGGTCGGGGCCTCAAAGCAGATGCTGCCACAGTTCTATCCCAGGAAGTTCCAGCGATTCCCTTTGAAAGCCAGCAGCTTCTTTGTCTCTCTCCTCTGAAACACGGGGGTAAATCAAGAAGGTCCTCCCGCCAGCTTCTGAGGCCCGGTCAGGACAGCTGTGCCCCACGGTGCCAGCGTGGGTCTCGCCCTCTGCGGCAGCCACACCTTCATGAAGAGGATGGGAGTCAAGGACAACACGGGTTTCAGAAGATGAGAACTGAAAAAGCCAAACTACCTGGGGAACTTCATCTTTCATCTTAGCGACAGATACCTGGTCCTCCAAGGTCATCCTCTAGTTGAACTCAAAGCAAATCCCAAGCAAATTCACTGTGCTCATTCCCTGTGCCCTGAAGGGACCCTTCACCGCCTCCCTTCAGTTCTGCAACACCCATCGCCCGGAGCCCAGTCCCTGGCCACACTGCCAGTGATCCCTGTCGTCTTTGCTTAAATTCAAAACTTGTCACTCGTCGCTATCCCTTACTTAGGAATTGGTAAATGAGGCAATTAATAATTGTCAAACACTGGGGTTATTAAAACTTATCTGCATCCCAGCAGCTTTCTTCTAGATTGCTTTATATTATCATTGAGCCTTTCCCATGTCTTGCTCTTCCCACTAGACTGTCAGCCTGTTGAGCGGGAGATCTGCCTCTTTCCTTTAATTGCCCAGAGTATGTCCTTAAAATTAGTTCTCTGAACACTTTGGGGGGGAGGGGAGACGGGTGCCTTTATTTTTTGCAAGATAATTTGCATGAACAAACAGTCATTAACAGCTCTTCCTTGTCCATTCTTTCTCAGCAGGAGCTGCCTCGGAGGAGCCTAGGATAAATGCTCCCTTCACTGATAATAAGGGATGAGGCTTCCCCAGCTAAGACAGGCCTGAGAACTAGGACTTTGATCGGTGCAAACCCGGGCATCAGCAGAAGGGGCACCCTCCAAGGTAGCAGTTAGTTAGTTACCCAGGGGCCTGGGAAGGTATAAATATGGTTATTCGTGCCTGGGAAGGCTACTATACTAGTGTATATGCACACGTGCAAAGCCTCCCCTAGGGAGGAAAATGAATGGGACCGAATCGCCAGTCTGACAGAGACCCTTTCCTGGTGGTAGAACCAGTTCTGAGCTGTCTCCTGGCTCTTGCCTACAATGGGACCTTTAGTTCAGATCCCTAAAGGGGGCGGTGCCAGCAGCGCGATGCCCCAAACCCAAACATGCAGCGGTTAGAATGGGTGCCCCAGCCTCTCCCCGCAGTGGCCTGCCCCCAGCTCTTTGCAGACAACCCCGTGCTCCCCAAAACTTCTGCAGACTGCTGGCGGGCTGCGAGCCGCAGGGCGACACCTGGAAGAGCAAGTGACAAAAACAAGTAAAACCAGCCGCGCTCCCACTGTGCAGAAGCGACTGGTGTCCTCGTCTAAAATAAAAAGGTCTCTGTCTGCAAATCCCGTTTGCTCCACCGACCGGTAATCCACCCCCCGCCCCCGGCCCGGCGTGTCCGCCCGGTACAGCTGTTTTTAATCCCCATTTTTCTCACTTGGCGTCCGGGGCTCGGGCTGACCAGACGCGGAGCCACTTAGCGGCTCCCCCTCCCCCCGCCGGGGTCTGTCCTTCCTCCGCCGTCTCCTCTTTCCCCGCCCGCATCCCCGGGGGCAGCGTGTGGGAAGGACGAATTTCCGCCCGGTTGGTTCGCCACTCGCCGACTGGGGTCCCTTCCGGAGGCAGCCCGCGCACCCGGCTCCACCCCCGGCTCCTCCACGGAGGAGGCCTCGCTCCCGGGCCGGGGACCAGAGAGAGAGAGGAGGCGCGGGCTGCGGGGGCCGAGCCGCCCGCCGGGGCGCAGCAGCCAAGCCGCGCCCCAGCAGCTCTTGGAAGGACTCCCGCCCGCCCGCCTGCAGCTGGGGAATCCACTCGGCGGGGAGAATCCGTGCCAGGGAATCCAGCTCCGGACTCGGCTGCAAACAAAACAAAAAAACTCAGCGCTTGCTCCCCCCTCCGCCCCACGACGCGCACCCGGAGAGCTCGCTGCAGAGATGCAACAAGTAGCGCCCGCAGCTCGCACAGCGCCCCGCGCCGCCTGACTTGGCCGGATCAAGCGATCCTGCAGGGACCGGGCCAGACGCCGGACAAAGGGCGGAGGAGGGGCCGGGCCGCGCAGCGGCGGAGTCCCTAAAGAGGCCACCTAGTGACTCTGGCCAGGCCAAGGGGAATGCAGAGGGGACACGGAGCCGGCGGGCCAAGAGGACGATCCGGCGGCTGCACGCAGGGCCAGGGCGGGCGGCGATGGAGGCTGCCCGCGCCCTGCGCTTCCTGCTCGTGGTGTGCGGCTGCCTGGCGCTCCCGCCCTGGGCCCAGCCCGTGTGCCCGGAGCGCTGCGACTGCCAGCACCCCCAGCACCTCCTGTGCACCAACAGGGGGCTCCGCGCCGTGCCCAAGACCAGCTCGCTGCCGAGCCCGCAGGACGTGCTCACCTACAGCCTAGGCGGCAACTTCATCACCAACATCACGGCCTTCGACTTCCACCGCCTGGGCCAGCTCCGGCGGCTGGACCTGCAGTACAACCAGATCCGCTCTCTGCACCCCAAGACCTTCGAGAAGCTTCTGCGGCTGGAGGAGCTGTACCTGGGCAACAACCTCCTGCAGGCGCTCGCCCCGGGCACGCTGGCCCCGCTGCGCAAGCTGCGCATCCTCTACGCCAACGGCAACGAGATCGGCCGCCTGAGCCGCGGCTCCTTCGAGGGCCTGGAGAGCCTGGTCAAGCTGCGGCTGGACGGGAACGCGCTGGGGGCGCTGCCGGACGCGGTCTTCGCCCCCCTGGGCAACTTGCTCTACCTCCACCTGGAGTCCAACCGGATCCGCTTTCTGGGCAAGAACGCCTTCGCCCAGCTGGGCAAGCTGCGCTTCCTCAACCTCTCCGCCAACGAGCTGCAGCCCTCGCTGCGCCACGCGGCCACCTTCGCGCCGCTGCGCTCCCTGGCCACCCTCATCCTCTCGGCCAACAGCCTGCAGCACCTGGGGCCCCGCGTCTTCCAGCACCTGCCCCGCCTCGGTCTGCTCTCCCTCCGGGGCAACCAGCTCGCCCACCTCGCGCCGGAGGCCTTCTGGGGGCTGGAGGCCCTGCGGGAGCTGCGCCTGGAGAGCAACCGGCTGAGCCAGCTGCCCGCGGCGCTGCTGGAGCCTCTGCGCAGCCTGGAGGCGCTGGACCTGAGCGGCAACGAGCTGGCCGCCCTGCACCCCGCCGCCTTCGCCCGCCTGGGCCGGCTGCGCGAGCTCAGCCTCCGCGACAACGCGCTCAGCGCCCTCTCCGGGGACATCTTCGCCGCCAGCCCGGCCCTCTACCGGCTGGACCTGGACGGCAACGGCTGGACCTGCGACTGCCGGCTGCGGGGCCTGAAGCGCTGGATGGGCAGCTGGCACTCGCAAGGCCGGCTCCTCACCGTCTTCGTGCAGTGCCGCCACCCGCCGGCCCTGCGGGGCAAGTACCTGGATTACCTAGACGACCAGCAGCTGCACAACGGGTCTTGCGCCGCCGATCCCTCTCCCTCCTCGGTTTCCCCGACCGGCGATGCCAAGAGGCGGCCCTTCCCCACAGCCACGAGGGAGAAGATGGCGCCCCCTGCCGGTGGCCTCGCGGAGGAGCTGCCGCCGCAACCGCAGCTGCAGCCACAGCCTCAGCCGCGGGAGAGGGTACCGCCCGGGGCGCCCTGGGATGGGGAGCTCCTGGGCAACCGCAGCGCCCCGAGGCTGAGCCCATGGGGTGCGGGCCCCCAGCAGCTGGGCCCCTCCGCGCCTGCTGCTGCGGCGGGCCCGGCGCCACCGCCCCGGGACCTGCAGGAGGAGCCCGATCCAGCCCGCGCCGAGCCCACCCTGACCGGCGGGGCCGCAGCCTCCGCGCCGCCGCCCGCCGGCGACCTCTGGCAGCGGGCCGCGCAGCAGCGCCTCCCCCCGCAGCAGCCCGAGGGCGCCGCCCCGGCGGACGGCGGGCTGGGGGCGGGCCTGCCGCCGCTGGTGTCCGACCCGTGCGACTTCAACAAGTTCTTCCTGTGCAACCTGACGGTGGAGGCGGTGGGCGCCGACAGCGCCGCGGTGCGCTGGGCCGTGCGCGAGCACCGCAGCCCCCGGCCGCTGGGGGGCGCGCGCTTCCGCCTGCTCTTCGACCGCTTCGGCCAGCAGCCCCGCTTCCACCGCTTCGTCTACCTGCCCGAACGCAGCGACTCGGCCACGCTGCGCGAGCTGCGCGCCGACACCCCGTACCTGGTGTGCGTGGAGGGCGTGCTGGGCGGCCGCGTGTGCCCGGTGGCGCCCCGCGACCACTGCGCCGGGCTGGTCACCCTGCCGGAGCCCGGCGGCCGCGGCGGCGTGGACTACCCGCTGCTGACCCTGGCGCTGCTGGCCGTCAACGCGCTGCTGGTGCTGCTGGCCCTGGCGGCCTGGGCGGCGCGCTGGCTGCGCAGGAAGCTGCGGGCCCGCAGGAAGGGCGGCGCCCCTGTGCACGTCCGCCACATGTACTCCACGCGGCGGCCGCTGCGCTCCATGGGCACCGGCGTGTCCGCCGACTTCTCCGGCTTCCAGGCGCACCGGCCGCGCACCGCCGTGTGCGCGCTCAGCGAGGCCGACCTCATCGAGTTCCCCTGCGACCGCTTCATGGACAGCGCGGGCGGCGGCGGCGGCAGCCTGCGGCGGGAGGACCACCTCCTGCAGCGATTTGCAGACTAGCTCCGGGGAGCCTCCATCTCCTTGGCCTGGAGGAGCCCTGGTCTCTCTGGGAGGCCATTCAGCCCACCTCAGGGGAAGATCTCATTCCATCAGACCGTCTCCTTGTGTGCACTTGGCCAGAGAGGAAGCCAATTCGGCGCTGCCCCCTAATTCCCAATATTCATGAAATACATGGATGGTACTTGGTGATCAAGTGCCCAAGAGTAGGGGACGCATGGACGGTGGGGTTCAGAGGTGGAAGGCCTTCTGTACACGGAGACTTGGGCGCAGCTGTCAGATTGCTTTTGGTGGCATGGCAATGCAAAGGGGGCTTGTGCCCCCAACATGGCCAGAAAGCGACGAGACATACTTTTTTACTTGTTCAGTGTCCCGAAGAGGTGTTTTGTGTTCTATTTAAGGGAAAAGGAACTTATTACCATGACAAAAAGGAGGCTTGGTTTGGAGGTTTGTTGGCAAGAAGGATGATGTCAGCAGGTGGTAAAGTTTAACACACTCACCAAGGGGGAACCCTTTTATGGTGGATAACTTGACCTTTAAGTAATTAGAGACGCTATTTTTTTTTCAACAATGTGAAGAGCTCAGACATTTAACAAACTGACACACTCAAGGACTATTTTAGATTGAGCCCGGTGGCTCAACAGTTTTCTTTTTAACACGAACATCCCCGGAAGGTTCGCCGACCTTGGGGTTAACTGAGAGATCACACACTTTCTCCGGAGAAGGCTGCACCCAAGCCTTCTCCATCAGGGTTGCTCCTGTGGCTTTTTATTTTAATTTTTTTTAAACCCATAGATGGAAAAGGAAATTTCAATGCCAGGCTTCATCCAAGAATGTAATGTGTATGTAGCTGGTGACCCCGTAGGGAATGCCAGTGTGTTTACCACACCTGTGTGTTTACCACCCACAGTGCGTGAGGGCTGGGAAACATGCCATGTGCTACTTCTCATGTTATCAGTGACATGCAGTTGACTGTGTCCTCCTGGTTCCGAGTTGCACAGTTAAGTGTTAAAGGACATTTCCTAATAGGGGAGCAAGAGGTGATTGTCAGTTGACCTCATTCATGTTTTACTCTAGAGGAAATGGTAGAAGGGAAGAAATTCTTGGGAAAATGTGAAAAAATGGACATCAGAGGTTGTTTTCCTACAAAAAAACCCCAGAAGATTGTTACAAGTACTTAAACCTCACTGTGAAATAATTCTATCTTTTTGCAAGTTAGTCCCTCCATGACCCTGTGTTTTACTGTGTTATTAAATCTTATCTCGTAGTTGATAATTGCAGTCTTCCTTGTCCATGCTTTTGTGTTAAACTTAGGGTTAGGCTCCTTTATTTGCTCTGTTGTTTTCAACTATTTGAGATACTCTCGTCCCCTGATATTTATAAAGTACATGTTTAGCACTGCATGTAGTGCCCTGGTTTACATGGATGATTGCGTGTGTGGTCTGCAAGTGTCGTCACTAAGAAGGTGTGCCTGGCTCCGTTCCCTGTGGTTATGACGCACGGGCAGTGGGGTGCTGTGGAGGCCACGGCACTGGTGCTCAGGCTAACGGTGCATCTTCTGGTGAGGGCTGAAAGCCCCTAAGGGTCCTGATGACTCAGGGAAACGATCACAGTCCAGGGGTCCCTCACCCCCCTTTGATGGGTGGCCTCCACCGAGCCAGGCCTGCCCTTTGTCCCCACAGCTGAGCAGAGACCCAGGAATCTAAATGAACTGATCTGTGTTTATGTTCAGCTGAATCAATGTCCAGACCACTTAACATACAGCTGCTTTCCTGGCAGTCTTTATCTGTGGGGCCAAAACTTAATAAACCACAGGAAATGGACTGTCATTCTGAGTCTGCTGCCAGAGCTTGTTTCCGACTCCAAGCTTGCCGGCACCGGGAGAGGTGCAGTCGTTGGCTCTTCTTGGCAAGCTTTGGGCTACCCTGCACCTTTTCTGCTCCCGGCTGTTTTCATTCATCGAGCAGTTGCATCTCTTAGCTGTGTCTTTGGCACAGCCATGTAATGCCGATTCCCGTGGGAAGTCTGGAAAGGACCTCTTGTTTTCCCACGACTCACCCTGTGAACATCAGAACATCACCGAGCATGCTTAATGCCTGATCTCTGTAAAAACAGCTTCCCTGGGAGGTCTTTTGGTGGGAAATGAATAAATGCTGTCCATTGTTGTGCCCAGTGATGTCAATAATAAACCCACTTACTGATAGAGATGTTTTATTGTTGAAGTTGCCAGTATTTTATACGCCCGCCTGCGGGTACTCTGCATTTTTCTATAGCCGTTTTTCATCATCGAAAGTGAACACAGGCATGAAGTCTTTCTGTCCTCTTTCAATGTTTTTTTTTTTTAATTATTATTTCCATTTTCACAGTAGCGTAGGGATGTTTATTTATTTTTATTTTTATTTTTTAAAATATATTTTATTGATTTTTCACAGAGATGAAGAGAGAGGGATAGAAAGTTAGAAACATCGATGAGAGAATCATCGATCAGCTGCCTCTTGCACACCCCCTACTGGGGATGTGCCCGCAACCAAGGTACATGCCCTTGCCCGGAATCGAACCCGGGACCTTTCAGTCCGCAGGCCGACGCTCTATCCACTGAGCCAAACCGGTCCCAGCAGGATGTTTATTTTTAAGAAATGGTTGTGGACTTGATACCCCGAGAAAGGATGAGATGGCTTTAAGAGCAGGTGGCCAGCCATGGTGTGAAAATGCTATTAAGATCCAGTGACAGCAAGGTGGTTGGGTCTCCACAGGCACCAGCTGGTAAAAGGGACTGAATTAAAAGCCAAGTCCTTTGACTTGCATGGTCAGTAATAAGAAAGAATTCTCTCGAACTGGAGGTCATTTTTGCCATCACAAAGTTTATGAAAAGAGAAAATTTATAAAAGAAGAAGAACCAATTTTGTATGTGGTAGGAGTGTTCAATGAGGGGTTCATCAAAGCAGTCTGGAATTTGAGGGGACCCTCAGCTTCCCCAGTAAGCTTATTGCTTTCACGAGGCTGGTCATTTTTTGATGCTGACAGGTAACAATTAGGATGTGATCAGAACACTCATTCATTTGCCATGCACTGGGTTTTCACCACAAGTACAGCAATAGGGGCACTGACTGTGTTTTAGGAAACAATTAAAATAGTTACAGGATGGCCTGGTACTTGTAGTTAATCCCTATTGCGCCTATTTCTGAGACTTTGAGATGAGTGACAGTGAAGTAGTCCAATGCTGGAAGTGTATCCAAAATTCCAGACCCAGAATCAAAATGGAATCCTACCTGGTCTCATACCTTCGCCATCTAGGAAAATTACAGCATCATTCAAGCTCAGAATACTGTTTAAGGAAGTGATGAAAGAATCTGAATCCTCTGGGATTGTATTCATTCCATTCATCAATCTCCTTGTGCCTCAGCTTCCACATCAGTTGAAACAGGAGGCCTAAAAGTCTTGACTGCACCGTGCTAAGGTGAGAAGTCAGAGTGCATGGTGTTTGCCAGCATCTCAGGGATGTCGTTAGTAGCAGGATTCTCCTGTACCCAGTGCAACAGGTGGCATGACACACTGTGGAAATTTCATGGACAAAACATTTGTGCTCAAGCCCTTAATCCATCAGAAAATTCAGATCATGAGATTACAAGAACCCCTCCCCTCTCGTTCTGGTTGGTTGGGTCTCTCCTAAAATTGAGTGTGAAAGGCTAGCTCTCCTAGTACTTTCTCATTACTTAACGAATGTGAATTCATAGTACTTGACCAAACGTTTCTGTGTCTATGAAATTCATGGTATACATTAATATCCACCCTTGAGGCTGGAACTAAGGGCTGGGTGCATGGTCTTGCTTGCATAGCCCCCATCCTGTTTCCATTAACTTCGTGATAGCATCTCTAAGTCTGCTTTTATTCTTAGTTTACTTAAAGGGATACTATGCACGAACAATTCTTTTATCCCCCAGGGATTTCAAACCACTACATCTTTCTCCGTCAGGTGTCAGATCGCATTCTTTTCATTTTGCTTGGGAGACGGGTATTTGGAGATGATATCTACATTAATGGCTGAACTAGGGGGAAGCAGAGCTGCTAATACCTGGCTGCTTTCTTGGGGCAAAGAAAGTACTTAAATATCCCGTTGCATCTGCATAACAGATTTTAAGCTACAGGTGGTGTGATTCTTCAACAGGAGCTTTATAATTTGTCTGTGAGCTGGCATCAGAAGCTGGGTGGAAATAAATTGTGCACGTGCGGGAGGTAACCAAATCGATGTTTCTGTCTCTCCCTCTCCTTTCCAATCTCTGTAAAAATCAATGGAAAAATATCTTTGGGTGAGAGTTAACAACAACAAAAAAAGAGGAGCATCGTAAGTAGAATTAAGCACAAACAAAAACAAAAAGCTCTGTGTGTGTGTGTGTGTGTGTGTGTGTGTGTGTGTAAGCCTTGAAATCAGGTCATGTGAATCATCCAAATTTTCTTTGTCAAAGATGATTTTGACTATTTCACTTTTCTGATTTTTCCATATATATTTTAAAATAAGCTTGTTATTGTTCCCAAAATTGCCTGGTGGGATTTTTTGTTTGTAATGCATTAACTCTATAGACCAATCGGGAGTATTCAGGAGTATTGGCAAACCTAGTATAGCTCATTGTCTCAGAGAAAATGTTAACATGCAACATGGAACATCTTATGAAGGGAGAAACTATATTTGAGATTCTTATCTTGGTCTTATATATGGAGTATTCCATGTATAATAGATAAAGACTTGAGGCATGTACTATATAGATTGAATAGGACCTTGAGTTTATTTAATGTCACAGACTCTTAGAAGCATGTGTTTTGTGTCAGGCACTCTTTTAACAGTTTTCTTACACTAATGTATTCATTCTTCATAATAACCCTTTGAAGAGGTATGTTACTATCCTCACATCAGAGATAAGGAAACTGAGGCACAGAGTGGGGAGGTGGTAGAGTCTGAATTTGAAACCAGGCTGGCTGGCCCCAGGATCCTTGCTGTGAATCCTGAC